CCAAATTATTTAAAAAATAGACAAATCAATCAATCAACTAAACCAACAATGTAATAAACAAAGACAGAATAAATTTGAAGAAATATAACTAGCAAAACAAATTTAACAATTCAATCTCAAACCAATTTAATAAATAAAAATTTTTAAATAAGTAAATGTTAGTCAACATATAAAATACTCTAACTACTTAATTCAATCTCAAAACAATTTAATTCTAACTACTTAATTCAAATATTCAAATAAATAAAATAATTAAGTGTTAGTCAATAAATTAAAATTCACTTACATTTAATTACAAATTGAAGGGAATGTCTTTTTATTTTATAAAAAATTCAACATAATTTTCACTTAAATATAACAAATCCCAAATTATTTGAAAAATAGACAAATCAATCAATCAACCAAACCAACAATGCAATAAACAAAGACAAGATAAATTTAAAGAAATATAACAAACAAAACAAAAGTAATAATTCAATTTCAAACCAATTTAACATAATTCTTAAAGCTAAAACTTTTGAATCCAAAATGGGAACGCAAATAATATCTATTTGTCATGAAATTTTAAACAACACTTTATCATTAATCAAAATTCGTAACAAAAAAAAAATGACAAAACACTAAATAGATTATTTATTAGTAAATTCTCAAGTTTATTACAAAAATATGACAAAAATTCAAAATAAAATATCAAAAAATTATTAAAAAATCAAAAACTTAAAAACTAATCAATTTTGAACATTTAAACATGTTTCTAATGCCATGTATAAGAAGGAATTGAGATTTTCTAACATCGAATGTCACCAACTAACCCCTCAAGCACATAAAAGCATAAAATAAATAACGCAAGATGTCCAAAATGTAAAACCAATCAACCCATTTGAAGTACAATAGATGTTTATTGTCAAAATATCCAAGAAACTAAGAAAAAATGAAAAGAATGAAAGAAGAGGAAACTTACTCAGTGGAGACAATTCAAATGTGAGAAGATGCAATAGTGGACGGCGGAAGACCGAAAAACATAACAAAAAAAGCACAAGTGAAATAGAGGACTTTTAACAGTAGGAAACATGGGGGATTTGCTAGTATTACAGCTTGATGGTGGTGGTACAGAGGGAAACCCTGGTCCACTGACTGTGAAATTGTGAAAAACGGAACGCGCGATAGGATTAAGTTTAAATCTTTCCATGGCGGTTATTAAGAAAACTACCATGGAAAGTACTTTTAAAGGCAATTATTTGATTTAACCACTATTAAAAGTACTTTCCATAGTGATTTTCTTAATAACCACTATGGAAATTTAATAGTCACACCACTTATTTACAAAAATACTACCTCTTTTTTCACGGTATTTTTCTTTTTAACTGCTGTTGTTTGCCGTCGTTAGATGTCTTTTTTGTAGTAATGTTATGCTGAATTCAGCATAAGTAATGGGAGAGTATTTCACAAGCAAGGCCTAGTGCTACCTCATGAAAATACAAACTTAAAACTATTTTGAAAGAGTTTCACTCATCAAGGGTAGGGGGCATAGTGGAACTGTAAGAACACATGGACGAGTGGCTGCAAAATTCAGGTGGAAGGGTATGAGATCAGATATCAAGAAGTTTATTTAGTAATGTCAAGTTTGCAGTCTATTCAAACTTCTCCTTATGGTTTGTTACAACCCCTACCCTTACCAACTCAAGTTTAGGGGTATATGATTATGGATTTTGTGACTGGATTGCCTTTGTCAAAAGGGTTTATAGTGATTTTTGTAGTAGTAGATAGGCTTTCAAAATTTTCTCCTCTAACGCCTTTGATAACTCATTTTACTATTAAAAGCGTAGCCAAATTATTTGCTCAAAATATTGTCCAATTGCATAGAATACCCAAATCAATTGGATTTGACCATAACCATGTGTGCATGAGTTCTACCTTGTGCATGAGTTCCTCTTACCATCCTTAAAGTGATGGTCAATCAAAAGCATTAAACTGTTGCTTGGAAATGTATTTATGGTGTTTCATATATGATCGACCACTGCTGTGGATGAAATATTTATCGTAGGCTCAATTTTGTTACAATACTGCCTTCCATACATCCATTGAGATGTCTCCATGCAATATTTTGTTTGGCTAAGATCCTCTTATGCTTGTTAGGCCTAATCAGCCATTGGGAGTGTCAGTGGATATTAAGGAACAGATTGCTGAAAGGATACACTGCTCATCCAGTTGAATGAAAACTTGAAGAAGGCATGAGTTCAAATGAAATTATATGCTGATAAAAAGCGGACTGATGTGGAATTCTAGATCAGGGATTTTATTTTTCTTAAATTACAACAGTCTTGACAGCATTGCTTAAAAGACCACAGCTTATAAAACTTGTCTCCCACATACTACGGGCCATCTAAAATCATTTAAACTGAGCTATCCAAATTTTGATCTCCAGGACATGGTCATTGTCAACGAGGGGCATAATATCATGAGTAGGCCTAAAGGAAATGTTGATTCAGTAGCCTAAGGGCAGAACGAAGCCCACAACATGGAAGTATCAACCCTGTTGCTACATAGGAGCAATAGAATCCTCAGTATCACTTGGAAGATACGGGAGAAGGAAGAATAAATTCTGTTATTGTCAGAGGGAATGGGTAAGGATGAACTTGGCAAATCTCTCTCTCTATCTGATTATTTTGTTTCTTCTCTCAGAGGATATGTTAGTGGCAGTCTCACCCAAGAGTGGGGTGAATTGGGTGAGTTATAAAAATCTTGCAAATTTAAAATAATAAGTTAACAGAAACAGAGAGTGTGAGTTAGAGAGATTTCAACGTAGAAAGAGGACACAGAATTTATACTAGTTCGGTCTCAACCACTTGACCTACGTCCAGTGCTCAGAATACCTCTAAGTATTCCACTATGTTCCAAGATTAATCAAGCTCTTGGTATCGCAATACAGCAATTGATTTGTTCAATCACTCCCCCTTACTACCCGTAAGGTTACAATACCACTCAAGAGTCCACACTCTTGAGTTTCACACAGAACGTGATTTATCAAAATAGATACAAAATCTCTCACAGAGTGAATAGATGAGAATCACTGAAGCTCAGTATATGCAAGAACAGAGTATCGAATGTAATAGTAAATAATCAGCAGAGGGTAGTTCACGTGTTCAGTCTGTTCATTTAATGCTTCTTCGCGCCTGTTATAGTTGAGGTAGCTTAGTAACTGTTAAACAGAAGAGTTTCTAGCCGTTGAGAGTTCAGTTGCGTGTTTTTCCAGTTGTAACGGTTTTTGCCATTAATGCTTCTAACAAGGTAGGTTACAGGCTACTTAAATAATCGTTGGAGAGCCGTTGGGTTCTTCTTCGTAATCTATAATAATACTTTAATTCAATAAGTTTTTCTTTGTAGAGTAATATTTAAATCAAGACCAAACAAATGATAAAATGAACGTTCGTGGTCTAAAAGTAGAATCAATCAGTTGTTAGATGTGTTAAACAATAACTGGACATCCTTGATTAAAGTAATGATCGATGACTGGTTGATCGATCAGGTTATTGATTATTCAGAGTGAAAGCTTTTGAAATAGATAAATACGTTTATCGATCAAGTGATGGATTATTGATTTATCAATCAAGTGATCGATAAAAGAAAATAGTGACTTCATAAAGGTATGCAAAGAAAAAGAAGTTCAAGGTCACTTTTGATTTTGACTATCTTTCAATAGAGAATTAAGTCAAGCAAGAAGGTTGAGAAAAGCTTGAATAAAATAGATAACATATTTTGAAAATCACTGTAACTGGTTGAATTTTAAACTGAAATTACTCCATGATCGAACAAGTGATCGAACACTTGTTGATCGATCAGGCTATCGATAAACAAGGTGACATAAAAATAGATTTTAAAGGAATAATGATCGAACTCTTTATCAATAAATAGATGATAGATAAACTTATCGATAAACGGTAAGGAAAAGTATATTCAATGAAAACACAGACTATATAAATTATCAAATAAATGATCGATTAAGCAATGATTGATCAAGTGATTGATAAAATAGAACAAAGAGACTTAGTCCTATAAAGATAAGGGGCTGATTTATCGATCACGTTATGTGAAAAATAAGGCAAACATGTAAATGGGTGATCGATCATATTATCAATAATTTGGTTGTCGATCAGGTGATCGAAAAACCACAATTTAAAAACAAGACACTGATGATCGATCATTTGATCGATAATTCACTGATCGATCAAGTGATCGATAAGCCACTTGGATAACAACCTGCATATTGACTGGGTTATAAAGCAATGTTTGATCACTTTATCGAAAAATTACTGACCGATAAAGTGATTGATAAATGGTGATTAAGACAAAACACATAGTGAGTAGAGCGCTTTACCTTTTATCTATCTTCTTATCGATGATCTATTTATCGATCATGTGATTAATGAATGCTTGTCAGATTTGTATCCCTTTATCTGATTGATATTCGATTACTTTGATTATTGATCAATTGATTGATAATTTACTGCAGACTTTTATACATCATTGAGTTAACAATGATCGATCAATTGATCGATCAACATTTTATCTATCAAGTTATCAATCAATGTTTCTGCTAAGTTACTTGTTTGTAAAAAAATATTATCTATCAAGTTATCAATAATTCCTTGATCGATCAAGTGATCAATCAACATTTTAAAACATATATTCCTTACTTTGTTATCATCAAAACCTTGATCCTACCATTCTTCCCCTTTTTGATGATGACAAAATATAGCTGAGGAATTTTAACTAATTAGCATCAGATAACAGTAGAATTAAATCACAAGTGCAGCAAAGGCTCTTGATAGATCAAAGTAAGACAGAAAAGCAACATAAGAGAAAATTGAACTGTCAGAATACATAACAACAACCAGATTACATAACTGTTAGAAATCAAAATACATAACTGTTAGAAAACATAAAACGACAGTAAAAACAAAAAACTAAACAAGGAAAACAAGGAACTAAACTAGGCTAAACTAGGCAGAATCCTTCTCTCCTTTTTTGTTAGCATCAGAAGAAGAAGGGAAAGGAGTAGAAACAGTAGGCAAGGGAAGGGGAATAGGAAGAGAGGGAAGTTGAGAAAGTGGAGAGAAGGGTGGAAAATACAGAGAGGCGATTGGCTGTGGAACAGTGATAAGAGCTAAAGTAGGAGGAGGAGTAGGAGATGTAGAGGGTACAGACGGTGAAGTAGAAACAGGAGAAGTGGGTATAGGTGAAGTAGATGGTGCAGGCTCATGATGAGGAGGAGATGATAGGTGAGAGAGTAGATCCTCAAAACTGAAAGAGGTGCTGGGCATAGAGAAGTTGTTGCAAAGAAAGGCCACCATTCCTTTGAGCTCTCTGATCTCTCTGTCAACATGGTCAAATCTCTTAGAGACTTCCTTTTCCAAAACTATCATTACTTGTCGATGGAGATCCAGAATTTTGAAAATGCCCTCAAATTTTCTGTCTGAGACTTCCCCATAGTCTCTGGCCATGACATAAACTCTTTTCTCAAATTCTTGAAGTTCTGCTTGAAACATCTCCCTGATTGATCTTTCCAAAATGATGGTCCAGGGGTATGAGAGGAAGCTGCATTGGATTCGGCCTCATCTTGGGTTCTAGAAGTGCTGGCAGCTGGTTGCTTCTCTTTATCTTTCTAAGTCATCTTCTGCGAGAGTTTGAAGGGTACAGGAATTCTCATCTTATTGAGTTGGGTGATGCTAAAAGCAGGAACTTTGGTCTTAAGTTCTCTAGGCTCAAAAGGGGCGATGTTATTTACTTGAAGGATATAGGTGGCCAATTAAGGATAGGGAATTGGTGTAGACTTAAATTTGTTAAGGACAAAATCCTTCATTTCATTAAAGATCAAATCCCCTATATTGATCTTTTCCCCACTGATCATCCTAGCCAGTAGAAAATAATCATCCAGAGTTAGATATGAAAAGCTCCCAGACTTGTTGATCATGCTCCTCGAATAGATATAGTGGATTATTCTATAATAATCAGACATTTGCTTAGGTGGAAAGTTTAGTTCGCGGGGGCATTCATAACTTTGTATCAGAATTTTATAGGCTTTGATGTCATTCATATCACCTCCTCTCACAGAATCTTAGCTTCCCACCAATTCATTCAGTTTGGCACTAGAAATGTGGAAGGTTCGGCCTCTCAGTTTAACTCTTAGATAATTATTTATCAGATTATCCTACTCATCATATTCTTTCACGAATTCCATATTACAGTACAACCTCTTAATTACCTCAAGACAATACTCTCCCTCAATAATCAACCAATTTGAGTAGTATTCCAGTGGGTCACTTAAATCCAGATTAATATATTTGCTTTTCTTCAGGCTCTCAATATCCACAGAAACCATAGGACAAAATTTTTGATTTGCAAGATCTGTCTTGAACTTAGCCAAATTTACGTCATATCTAGGTTCCTAATCAACAGAATGGGACACCTTCGGTAGGAATTTGTCGTGACACACCTTCATTAGCTCTCTGCTTTCTCTGTCTCAATTGCTTGGGGATAGGAACTCTCAAGGCAGCCTCTATAGCTTTCTAAACTGAAGCTCCTTCATCTGATTCCTCAGTGACCACTGGTGGCTTGGATTTTGACCGGGGAGATTTTCTCTGAGGAGTGAGTTGCTCTTCGGCCCGACTCTCTTGTATTTTGAGGACTCCTCTTTTCTTTGATGATTCTTCCCTTACTTTCGGTCTGCACCTCTTCTTTGTACCTAAGGGAGTAGTATCACTGGGATGGGTTTGTTTCTCAATGCCTTCTTCCCGCTCAACATTTGGCTGCTTAACTCTCGCCATTTTTCATAAGACTGAGGGATTCTAAGAATTTAATTAGTTAAGGGAGTGTTTGACGAGTGCGATGGAGGTCGAGTGAGCTTTACAGTTGGATTCAAGTGGAAAAAAGGCCGAAAATTTAATGGAATAGTGATTTTGGACAGTTGCGTAGAAATAAGGGAACGGTTTTTTCGAGTTAGGGTTTGATAACTGACGGGAGGTTTTCAAAAATTGAACATTATAAGCACCAAAATTATTGATAATGTTATCAATCAATGAGTGATCGATCACATGTTCGATAAATATGAAGAACACACAAGAACACTGAAGACAATTATCGATCAAGTTATCAAACAAGAAATTATCAATCACGTTATCGATAAATGTTAATAGAGGAAATGCGTACTTGGTCTGTTTTATCGATCATTTGATCAATTAACAATTTATCGATCAGCTTATTGATAATGCTTACCAAATTGAATGAAGTGTCTCAAATCTTTATTGCTCTTGATCGATGTGTTGATCGATAATTGCCTTATCAATTAGTTTATCAATAATCCTCCTTCTAACTTTGTTCTTTCTCCTCACATGCTTCATTTATCGATCAGGTGATTGATAAATTTTCCCTTCATGGTATCATGATTATCAATGTCTTTATCGATCATTCCATACTCTGTTTACCTATGTTTTTCTTCGTCAAAAAAGAGCTTCCTACAAAACAAATTTCTATCCACTCCTGTGCTTAAGTTAGTCTTTTAATCATCAAAACATTAAATCTAAAGATTCAAATTTGAGAGATAATATGAGATTTCTTACAACTCATTGGGATTTACCATTCCCAATTCTCTTCTAAAGTAGTTGAATTTCTGTTGATCGAGAGGCTTCGTGAAGATATCTGCTATTCGATATTTGATGGAGGTGAATTCTACTTTTACATCTTTCTTTTGAACATGATCCTGAATGAAATGATGTTGAATGTCAATATGCTTAGTTCGAGCATGCTAAACTGGATTCTTGGACAAGCTTATCGTACTCATGTTGTCACATAGGATTGGAATCTCTCTCAAGTTGATTCCCAGATCCTGTAGTTATTGCCTTAACCATAGAATCTGAGCACAATAGCTGGCAGTGGCAGCATATTCTGATTCTGTGGAGGAAATTGTCACAGTATTCTGCTTTTTGCTTAACCACGAGACAAGGCACCCTCCAAAGAATTGACATTGTTCGCTGGTACTCTTTCTGTCTGTCTTATATCCTCCATAATCTGCATCTGAATATCCCATTAGATATTCTGCTCCCTTCTTCGCATACCAGATTCCTAAATTCTGTGTTCCTACAAGGTATCTGAGGATTCTCTTGACGGCTTCTTCATGTGATTCTTTGGGGGCGGATTGATATCTTGCGCACATTCCCACACTGAATTGAATATCTTGTCTGCTTGTAGTGAGATAGAGTAACAAACTAATCATTCCTCTATATTTGGTCAGATTCACATCCTTGCCCTTTTCGTCTGTATCCAGTGAGATGGTTGAGCTCATAGGAGTTTTTACACTTTTGGCATTTTCTAATCCATATTTCTTTAGTAACTCCTTCAAATACTTCGTCTGGGATATAAATATGCCATTTTTATTTTGTTTAATTTGCAATCCTAGAAACAAATTTAGTTCTCCCATCATCGACATTTCAAACTCGCCCTGCATTAGCTTAGCAAATTCTTGACAAAGATCCTCGTTAGTAGCTCGGAAAATAATATCATCCACGTAGATTTGAACAATCAAAAGTTCTTTCCTACTTTTAATGAAAAGAGTAGCATCCACTTTGCCTCTTTCAAAACCTTTTTCTATCAGGAAATTGCTAAGTCATTTGTACCAAGCTCTAGGAGCTTGTTTTAAACCATATAAAGCCTTTTTCAGTTTATAAACATGATCAGGAAGTTTGAGTTTTCAAAACCAAGAGGTTGTTCGATAAAAATTCTTCTAAAATATAGCAGTTCAAAAATGCACTTTTCACATCCATTTGATATAATTTGAAATCTTTTATGCAAGCAAAGGCTAAGAGTACTAGTATAGCCTCCAATCTAGCTACTGGAGCATATGTTTCCTCATAATCAATGCCTTCTTCCTGATTATAGCCTTTAACTACTAATCTGGCTTTGTTTCTAATGACTTGCGCAGATTCATCGAGCTTATTTTTTAATACCCATTTGGTGCCTATGATCGGATGATCATTAGGTCTGGGTACTAATTCCCAAACTTGATTTCTCTCAAATTGGTTCAGCTCTTTTTGCATTGCAACTATCCAGGATTTATCAGATAAAGCCTCATCAACATTGGTAGGTTCAATATATGAGATGAATGCAGAGAAGCGCACTTTATTGAACACTTGTCTCCAGGTTTTGACCCCTTTGTTGACTTTACCAATGGCTTATTTCAGAGGATGGTCTCGGTTATGTCTCCAAGCCTTAAGCTGTTCTAAGTTTTCTTGTGAAGAAGGTTTATTTAAATCATTTTTGTTTTCTAAGCATTCTTCTGAAGGTAATTTATTTGAAAATTTGTTCAAATCCAGTTTTTGAAAATTTTGAACAATCTCAGCATCATCATCTAGAGGTTTTGAAATAGGCTCAGTTTGAGCAAACACGACATGTATTGATTCTTCAATTGTGAAAGCGCGTTTGTTGAAAACTCTATAAGCTTTACTGTGATTAGAGTAACCAAGAAATAAACCTTCATCAGCTTTAGGATCGAATTTACCGAGATTTTCTTTATTGTTGTTGTGAATGTAGCACTTACTCCCGAAGATCTTTAAATGAGCCAGGTTAGGCTTTCTTCCTTTGTATAGCTCATATGGTGTTTTCCCGAGCAGTGTTATGATGTAAGCTCTATTAGAGATGTAGCAAGCCATGCTCATTACTTTTGCCCAAAATACTTATGAAATTTCTTTCTCATTCAGCATTGCCTTGCCATTTTTGTGAGCACTCTGTTATTTCGTTCAACAACATCGTTTTGTTGAGGAGTTCTTGGTACTGAAAAGTTGTGATCAATTCCGTGCTTATCACAGTAATTCACAAATTCATTGTTTTCAAATTCTCCTCTGTGATCAGACTTGATTGACACAAGAGAAATACCTTTCTCATTTTGGACCTTCTTGGCAAAAACAATAAATGCATTAAACATTTCGTCTTTAAAAGAAAGAAACAAGTCCAAGTGAATCTCGAATAGTCATTAACTATCACAAGAGTATACAAATTTCCACCAAAACTTTTAACTCTTGATAGACCAACCAAATCCATATAAAGCATTTGGAGTGGCCTTTCAGTTGAGACTGTGTTCTTTGATTTAAACGAAGACTTTGTTTGTTTACCCTTTTGACAAGCATCACAAATAATATCATGTTCGTACTGAATTTTTGGTAAACTAATAACCAAATCCCTTTTTGTTAATCTTGAAAGCTGATTCATGTTAACATGTACAAGACGTTTATGCTAAACCCAACTTTCCTCCTTTTTGCTAATAAAACAGTTTTCAGAAAATTTTGAGTCAATTTGAAGTGTATAACAGTTACCGTCCCTTGGAGCTCTCAGCTTTATATTTAACTCTTCCTTCTTCAATGGCAAATCATCCTTG